TTTTTTTTTTTTTTTTTTTTTTTTTTTTTTGATAAAACAATATAAACATTAACTAAGACAACAAAAACTTTTTAAAAAAATTTCTTTTTTTTTTTTTACAGTAATAACGAATGAAATTTTCAATTTTAAATTTCAAATATGTCATATTTTTTGCACCATTGAAATGACAACAGTAAACATACGGTTAAAGAAGATTTTAATGATATAAGTAATTGTTTGCTAAATATATAGCAATAGTCAACTGCAAACATTACACTAAGTTTAGTTTAATGGTTTAATTAAGGCAGCGAAAATCGACAAAGATTGTCCTTAATAGTAAAAAAAAAAAATAAGTTTAGTTAAACTGCTAAAAATTCCAACATTGTGGACTTTTATACATATTTGTAAAGACTTTCTTGGGCATTAGAAACATATCAGTTGACGTATCTGAAGGTTGAACAATTAATTTAGCGATAAACGATACATAAAATACGTGAAGTTACAGCATCTAACAAAAATTTTACTTCATTTTCAAAAAAAAAGTTGCTTTTTTACAAGAAAAACAAGAATTTCAATGTTTGCACAAATTTCGACAATCACTTCCACTGTTATTGAACAGTAACTAAGGAATCAGTGTGGATTCAATTTCCTTAAGTTTAAAGACAATGTCATAGCCGTATTTAGCCCGGTAAATGGCTTAGAACTAAAAAATAAATCGTATAATTATATTTGAGAATTTCTGCACTGTAATAATATACTTTTTTCTTCTATTATTTTACACTATTTTTCTTGATTATTTTTATCTGCCTTTTTTCTTCTTTTTCGTTAAATCAGATTAATGATAATTATTGATGCTTTATGATGTCAAATTGTTATTGGTGTCATTGTTGTTGTTTTTGCCGCCGTTGTTACAGTTCAGCTAAAAAAAAAACCAGTTGACCAAACTGTAATGCCCAAAAGCTTTCAAACAACTGATCCACTACAACTTTGAAAATGATTTGGAACAACAGCAAAAAAAAAATTCCACTGCATATTTGTATTCCTAATCTTTACAACAGCTAAACATTAGCCGTTGAACAACAAAAACACTGATTCACCAAACTGTAACAGACAAAAAATAGTTGCGGGAAGAGGAAGGAGAACTGTTTCTCATCGTCGATTCTGCTGCTATCAATTAATTGTGGTATATCCTAAACAGCAGTGAAGCGATTTACGTCAGACTTTAATAAACTGCTAAATAATATGACAAATAGATGACCAGTAATCAACAATATAAAATTTTAAACTGAATACTAATTGAATTAAAAACGAGAAAATCTAAAAAAATAATTTGGTAATAATCTTAACGTTTAACGTTATTAATGCTAACTCTCTGACTAATCAACTGCACAAAAAGATTCAGAAAGCAAAGAAACCATTAGTTACGTATTAATTGCAATAACCAAAGCAGTTTAACTTTTAAAACAGTTTGTTCAGCGGTGAATAGACAGTATCTCATAATTTATTGTTCAGAATATAAGTTGTTAAAAAATAGAACAATTAAAGCTGGAAAATGTGAATACTTTGTAGTTACTTTTACTGATATCAGTAGTATTCGTGTAACATAAAACTTTTGGTGATTGATATAAAATGTTTATCGACTATTTATGATTGCTTAACTTTTAAGTGCGTGTGTATATCAGAAATATCAAGTGCACTTAGCGCTAACAATAAAAGCGTTGATTCTGTTGACCGAAATCGCAATAAACTCCATAATCAGTACGCCGTGTAAAGCTGAAAGTTTTGATGAGAATAGCTACAACTGTTAAAAAAAACCACTAAATCTATTAACTGTTTTTATGAGATTTGTTAAAAAGTTTTTTTTTTTAAAATTTATTGCTTTTGAAGGTACGATGAAAAATCTTATGAAGTGTTGCATGGCAGACCTATCAGTTTCGCCAGCAAAATCCTCCTAACCCGCTCCTTTGAAATGCAGAATTTAAGGGTCATGCCAAAACAGTAAAAGTGGGTAGAAAAAATCCCGCTGCTTTACGCGTCAAGTTTTAATAGTTTTAAACTAATGACCATAAAATATTGCTCAGGTAAAAAGTGATTACTAAGAGACACATTTACTTGAACATTGTTCTTGATCATAGTAAACGCGTTTTTTTCTTAGGCGTTCGTTTACTGTTCGACCAAGGTTCCTTGAAAAGTCTATTGCAAGCAAAAAAAACAGCACTGTTTTCCCAGAAACAACAAGTTATTGTCATTAAGTATTTACAGTGAAGATACTATTGGAATGTGGTTGCAAACCAAGAGAAATAAAAACCTCCTCAACAAATAATCAGATGGAACACTGGTTTAAGTCAAATCTAATGCAGTACAGTAATTCCCGGTAACGTCTACAGTAGACATTAAGCCAGCACTGCTAAATCTGTAATGTATCATTATTTTCTTTTTTCAAATAGTACTGTAGTAAAAAAAGTGCTAGAAACTAGACCAGTGAAAAAAGTAGCAGTAGAAAACTACAGTTTGAAAATGGTAAAAATATAAAACGTTATAGTGTTTTACAGGTGACCCGTTCGAATACCATAGTACTACCAGTTACCATCACAGTTAACACCTATCAATCTAATCTTTTATCACTTCCAATAAATTTAAAGAGCAATGTTGAAAACAAAAAAACTATATCTCTTTGCATTACTTCAAACTGAAGAAATTTTGAAATTATCATAAAACCTTATTTTGCATATCGTTCAACTTCTAAAGATATGTGTAGAAAATTTTAAACTTGACTTTATAATGACACTTGTTGGTTGCTGGTAACACGCTGTACAGGATATAGCGGAAACTAA